TCACAGCCAAAAAATACACTCCAGACACGCCGCTGGCACTAGAGGCACAGCATGGCCGCGTAGTGACGGCCCCGACCACTGCCGCTCGACCTGACCGGAGAAAACCGTAGCTATATATCGTCACAAATATATATATATATATATCGTCAAATATATATATTTATATATGATATATAAGCAGACTATTACTCACCCACACCAGATGGAAAACTCTACAGACTGTCCAAAGCAGACTATTACTCACCCACACCAGATGGAAGACTGTACAGACTGTTGGTTCACACCCCATCACAAGCAAGCAAAACACCCACGAAGCAAAGAAAGGTCTGTCACAGCCATAAAATACACTCCAGACATGCCGCTGGCACTAGAGGCACAGCATGGCCGCGTAGTGACGGCCCCGACCACTGCCGCTCGACCTGACCGGAGAATACCGTAGCAGGGTTCTAGCGAAGTCGTGGTATATAAAGTCAAACAGGTACCTTGAGGGCAGTGGTTGGTGCCCACCTCAGGGTATCAGTTGTCGGGCAGTCGTTGATGCTTAACCACACCCGGGGTTAAGGTGGATTATCACTTACAGTGTAATCAGTTAGGGGATTCTGTAGACTGTTGAGGGTTCAGCCTCCTGATGAAACTCCGACGAAACAGTTTGCCACACCCTTACGTGTTTGTTGTCCTCTTCTCCCTCCCTCTCTGCCTACGGTTTACCGTCGGCAGCTCTGTTTGAATATATATATGTAAACAGTTTGTCACAGCCCCTCTTTTGGTGTCCTCTTCTCCCTCTCTGCCTCTGGTTTGCCGGGCAGCTCTGTTTGACGATATACACACACGCACACAGAGAGAGGGGGGAAAACCGGGTTCTACCGTAATGCTCCCTTGAGGCCCGCGCTACCTCGTGGACCACACTCCCTCAACGCCCGGCTGCCAGTGTTGGGAAACTGCGATTCCCTGTTGGGCCCACACAGCGCGGGCCGCACTGGCTGGCGGGTTTGGGATTCTGCCACCGGACGTTCGAATACAAGCACTATAGGAGAGGGAGTTTTTTCCCTCAACTAGAAGATGCACCGTTTCGGGTTTCGTTTTCTTTTTTCTCCTTGTGCTGCACACAGCTGGCAAACGTGACCATAAGGAGCCTCGGCCCACTACTCATGAGATGCGCAAAATAAGAACGAATCTGCTGCTAGAACATGGGAAGATACACCGCCATATTTTTTGTTGTTTGTGTAGGTTGTGAGTAGTGCAGTGAGGCGGTGCATCTTTCCATGTTCTGGCCGAAGATTCTTTCTCATTTTGCTATTTGGAGAGTGGCGGAGCAAGGCCCGTTGCGGTGGGGGAGGAAGGAGGGAGCGGTGGAGCGAGGCCGGGAACCTCACAATCTGGCTTGCTTTTTTTTTTTTTTTTTTTTTTTTTTTGTTGTTGTTGTAAAGCTAAGCTATATTCTTTTCTCAATTTCACCTTTCACTATCTACCTACCACTTCTACTCAGCCTGTACAGGGGCCCCCTGCAAGCAGAGCTACCTCTCACAATTAAGGGGATGCATGTTGCTCCCCCGCCCTAATCGGCGGTGGTCAGGGAGTAGGATGGGGCCGCCGGTTGGGGGAGGGGAGGGCGCGGCTAACGCAAAGATGGAGTATTTTGCCAGTGGTTATTGCCAACACTCTCACACACACCGCACACAACCCACTCGTGCTCACGCTCACACTCACACCCGTGTTCGCCATAGACCCTACTTATATCGATCAGGGGTATCAAGTGGACTATCATAGTCGGTTGGCACTAAGTTTGCCGCAGGCGGTCATGGGGGCCTCGAACCCACAACCTCCTGAATGCCACTTGCGTGCCTATCAATCTGGTTTTTTTTTTTGCTTTGTCCATGCTTTCCTCGTCTTCAAGTTCTTCTTCTTCCTTTTTTTTTTTATTGGTTTGTTTTTGAGTGGAACATTTGCTGTACAATGTGTCTCTTGACTCCCTTCCGGTTTCTGCCCTCCAGTTGCTCTCTTGCCTATGTTGTTGTCAAAGGGGAGAACGACACTGGTTGGGAGTCTGAACACTTCCAGTTGCCTTGAAGTCTGTTTTCACTTGTGTTTATCTATGTCCGCAAAGAATAGGTTTATTCACTCCCTGCGGCGCAGTCAACGCAAAGTCCAAAGTTCCAAACTAGTGAAAACATAGGCAAGAGACGACGAGAAGTGTTGTTTGTGGCACAATCAACATGTGCACGCTCCTGCGCATCGCTTCTCTTCCCATCGTCTACGACTGAAGTGGGGTGAAATGGGGTGGACAAGGGACAGTGGTGAAATGAGGTGGAGAAGGGACTGTGGGGAAATGCGGTCAAGACTGAAGGCTGTATTTTGGAGGGTTTGTGAGGGAAGAGGACTGTGGCCTTCTGTACCATGCAGGTAGAGAAGAAAAGTTTGGGTGTTAAGTTGCTATTGATAATTTGCATGAGAAGGTTGTGATC